GCATATCTTTTGTTCCAAGTCCTTCACATTGACTAAATATCCGCTTTGAAAAGTTCAAACAGCTAAATTTTGAGAGGATTGAATGACTTGAAAATTAGATCATGGAAAGAGTGGAAGTGGGTAGCAAAATTTTTTTAACAGTAGAAGTAAATGCAAGCAGTTATAGGCAGGCATAGGACTGGCAGCCTATCGGAGTTAACCAATAGGATGGGGAACTTGGAGAGGGATGTTTACATTAAACAGCAACTTTGGGTGTCCTACAGAAGCAGCCTCATTGCCCTCAATCTTAGTTCCTTTACATACTTATATGACCTTTGAGAAAGTGTGTGAGGAAATCTTCATTATGTTACGGCTTGTGGTTGCAGTGAAAATTATACCTATCCTTTCTACCAGAGACAGAACTCAGGGAAAGTGACTTTTCTGAGTTTTAAATGCTGACTCAATCCATCAGTGCTAGAAGTGCACTCACCATATGTGTCTCCCAATTATTCCCTCTCAAATTATTACTAAAATTTCTACATTCATTTAAATTATTTCTACTAGTATGTAATGAAGTGACTTCACACTTAATACAGAGAAACACGTCTGAGGAGTGACAGTGACAGATTTTTACAATGACAAGAATTAAATTTAAGTGTTTTCTAGTAAAATGTGTACCTGATATCCACTTACACTACAGTTTTTTCTTTAATTTGTAAAAACACAAACATAAATAGTAGTGTTTGTAACACTTAATGTTCCAGTATAGTCATTCCTCAACTTTATTATAAATTTTGCTTGCTTTATTAAGAAGATGCCAACATAAAATATGAACTTTAGTTTTTTTCCTTTAGAGAATTTATTTCTATTAAAGAGTACTCCTTAAAACAAAATGAAAATGGAAGTTTTAAGAAAGTTCCAAAGGGGGACTGCATGGGCCTATTTTGACTTCCCCATCAATTTAACTGTGAACTTTTATTTGTGAAATACTCTGGTGGTTGCTTCATAAACAGAAAAACAATCATTTCCAAGTTAGTATCTAATCTAGTTCGATAATGGTAACATAGATAAGGATTCTCTACCCTCTAAAGTATACACATTCTTTTACAAGGGAAAGAAGTTTTCAGAAAAAGCATATGTTTTGAGAAGTCAAGGGTTAAAAGTATAAACGTTTTATTGCCAGCACAGGAATTTTTTCTTCTTTGCTTTCTTCACTTGCAGGAAAGTTTTATATACAAATTCTAGAACGTGACCCACCACCTTTAATGAAAATAACCAACCTATGGGGCATAGCCTGGGAAATGTAAGAATCATTAAATTAAGAAGGTAAACAAAAATACACCTATCACTCCTGGGCCATAAGAAATAATTAAAACTATAAAAGTTTATTTTATAAAATATTGATTTTATATTTTAGACCTATCTCGTGATGGTAGTCACAGTTATAGTTATCTTTTAACTAGATTTGATGGAATATAAAGAATTAAATGATTCATAAATGTTCCTTACTCTTTTACGATACATTTAGATCAGAAATACCAAATATAGGATACATGAATATGCCAGTTTTTCAGAGAATTCTGATTTTATCTACTTTATTTTTTAATAATTCGATCATTTGACTTTTGTGTCCTTAGAAAACTTTGTATATGAGTAAATTCCTTAAGCAGTAAAGACCCGGATTTGATATTAATGCTTGGGATAAAATATGTACTGCCAAATCTAGAATACTGAAATAATACCATTTCCATGAGAACAGACAGAAACCCACTGGATCAGGTACAGATTCTATAAATTTTTTCATTGACCTTTTGCCTTGGTAGCCTGAAATAAGCACTTTTTTTTTTTTTTTGGCCCTAGCTTATGTTCTCACTGGGATTACTTATTAAATTGTGAATGTGTTATCTGGGGCTAATGAAATCTGTGTGGATTGCTCTAGGTTCAGTACAGAACCCTTTTTTGCTTTCTGGTTCACAGTCCAGAAATTTTCCCTTGATAATGTCAAGGGTGCCTAATAGAAGATATAGAATGAAGAAAAAGTTTCAAAGGAGGGAAAATTAGTTTTGTTAGGAGTATCACAAGAATGAATGGTTAACAATCGTTTTGATTTGAGCTTTGGTTTTTCTGGTTACTAAGTCACACACAGTGACTCAAAAACTACTGTGCTCATCCCTGACAGGGGTCAGAGGACCGTATGAGATAACAGGGATTCAGTCCGGGCAAACACCTTACCCGCTCTGTCTACTTTCTGGCCCCAGTTAACGAATGTTGAAAGAAAGTACAGAGTCAGAACTTGGGCTAAATATTTTACTTCTATTATCTTACTTAATCCTCATAAAATTAATGTGAGATAACAGCTATTTGTATCCTGTTGTATAAACAGAGGTACAAAGAAAGGATACAATAGTATGCTTGAATAAATAATGGGGGAAAAATATATTGTATAACATCCAATGAGCAGACCTAAATTGTTTAACTTATATCTTCAAGTCAGTTCTATGAAATAATTTGTTATCTTTTT